ATCTGGAAGAATTCTAAAGCATATATATATATATACTATAACGCACAGAATTTCCTTAGTAACGTTGTCGTTGTCAACGCAAGAAACGTAAAAGTGTGACGTCAACAAATCTCTGACTCGGCGACATCTAAAGGGCAGAGGTAATTCAAAGACACGACAATGTGTTTTATTATATGCTACTGCACACAAAACAATTGATACAAAATCTTTGTTGCAGTTCTTGAGATACTGAAGAACACATTACGCAATATCTTTGAGTGAAGTCAAATTCGTTCAATAATTTCTCTCGCCTCCTTGGTTCTCTTTATTAATATATTATACGGTGCTTAATATTAAAGAGAAAGCTTAAAATACGTCAATGCTTACCAATTTGAAATAAATATTAGTTATTTATAATCAAAAGAAGACACTTGATAAGAGTTGGCATTTAAACAATGATTATCTAAATGGCGAGTTTTCGAATTTTATAATCGGACTTTTGTGGTTCAGCTACCGTGGTGTTTCCTTGCGCACGGCGCTTTACTCCAAATGCATCAGCATTGAATAATCTAATTATCAAGGTATCAAGCTGTGGTTTAATACACAAAAACAAATTCTTCAGATATTTATTAAGACTAATAAAAGTAGACCTTTTGATCGTAAAACACAAATCTCCCCCACTGTAAACGCAAATTCTTACTTTTATTGGTCTGATAATCTGATGCAGCTGGCAATACTTAACAAAAGTTACACAGATGTAATCGTCATGAGTAAAAACAATCATGTTCAGGTCCGCTAGTAAACAGCACCCGCGCTTGCCTGCACGCACCAGCCAATATCCCGTCAGGACTAAGCACGCATCACCATAAAATGAAGGCACTGAGTAGGTGTTATAGAAGCTCATGCGTAGCAGACACACACGTCTCATGCTAGTGTGTCGGCTACGCACGAATTTATATGACATAAATCACAAAGAAAATAAAATTGCACAGCAAGATGAAAATGTTTGGTTTGTTTGGATGTATTGCATAAGTTTGGTTCTATTTATCATACGGAGGTTTCCCTTAGTAGCAGAGATGGAGGATTATGGACTCATAGTGTGAGATGGCATATGACGCAGAGGTCATCTGATGTAAGTTAGTAGGACAGCAATGAAGACTTTCAAATATCATTATTAGATCAATAAAACCTAAAATATCACCATCTTTATTGGTGGATTAGCTAACCGATTTCTTGAAGTTGAAAATGTGAATGGAGTGTAGGGATTTTGATATGTATGGATTTCCGGGGCAGGCAAAGCGAAAACTGAAATCTCCCTAAATAACTAGGTTCCCAAGTATTGACTTTCCATACTCCAAGAAGTTTTCCTAACTACAAAAAGTTAGGAAATTGCTCCAAAATGAGAGAATTCTGTCAAATTGTTGGGGTTTTTTTCTACTATTAGGAGGGCGGTAGAGGGAAAATAATCAGACTGACTTTAATTCTATGAATTTAGTTGGATTTAAAATATAAAGTTTGTTTAGAATGCAATATTATAAATATATCAATTATTTAAATAAAATTATGTTCATCCATCGAGAATCCGAAGACTGTTTTTCTTTACAGCTAATCCGCTTTCTCCGCTTGCCATATTCCCCAAAAGACGCTAACGAATCTACGCCGTTATGAGTGACACCTCTTTTAAGAGAGACTGAACACACACGCTCTCTCTCTCTCTCTCTCTCTCTCTCTCTCTCTCTCTCTCTCTCTCTCTCTCTCTCTCTCTCTCTCTCTCTCTCTCTCTCTCTCTCTCTCTCTCTCTCTCTCCATGAGCAAATACATTTCTTAAGTTACGAGTATTTTCTTCTCATAGCAATAAATGAAAAGAAGGCTATGATCAAAATATCATCATAACATTTGCAATTACAGCAATTCCGATTTCGCAGCCGTTTCGTGTGAACGACTTGATAGAGTAACAGGAAAGTGTTAGATCCGCGATACGATTTACCAGATGGGCATTAGCTGGCTTTTGGGATTTACCATTACATATAAGTTATGGATTTTGACCGAGGTGATGAAAATGCGAAAGTTGCTGATGTGACGTGATATGGGCTGGCCAGTGATGGCAACATTGATTGAATTGATTTCATTAGTGGACTAATAACTGCTAGGTAATTATAAATATTAGCATACACTCTTAAGCGCTCAAATATAATTTTCTTTGAAATCAGCACAGGAGACCACAATGGTGTATAAATATCTATTGGAAGCCAGCATGGAATTGTTGTATTAGCATGCCAGGAGCAAAATAATCAGAGAATGTTTCTTCACAACGAAGTGAAGTTCACCGACAAATCTACCCCGGCTGCATTTCCTGTTGATTAGGTTGCACCAACATTGGCTCAAAAAGGATGAGAAATATCTCTGCTGTTATTCAACAACGACGCACTTACCGGTGTTACAGGTTTTGGGCTATAATGAAAGCTTTAAAGTCTATTCAGAATCATCATGCTATGTTTATTTTTTTTTGTATTATCTGTTAGTTATTTTATTATTATTTTCATTTTATTAAATGCTATTTGGCCTGAATTACGGACTTTGATTTTGTAGTAAATATGTTTATGTCAATCTCTGTCTTGAACTTTGGTAATTAATTATAAATTACCTGTTGTTTACTACACAGTTTATATGATAATTTTAGTAACAGACTGCTAATTACAATTAATATTTTGTTTTATAAAAATGTGAAAACTCTCTTGAAGGTTTTTTTCTATTAAATAATTGTTTTTAGAAAATGATAATTGTAACCTGAGATCAAGTGGAAGACAATACAGTCTTGTTACTGGAAAGATTATACATTCGTGTTTACGATCTAGCAGAATTAACTTGTATTAGTTTTGTGTCAGCATTTAATTTGGGCTGGAAGCTATTTCTTCAAATTGTTCAAACTTAGTGTATTTTTTTTCAGGACATGCAGAGTACTCATTTAAAAAATAATATTGTGAGTTTTAGTGAATTCAAGCGTGGAATTATATTACTTTGTTTCAACAAAGAACTGTTGGTTCAACAACACAATACAGGCCGCCACAGGCACATTGACACCTTCAGAGTTGGACTTAGTTTGGTAGTTTGGATTTCTAATAACTCAGAACTTTAAATTATTATGACTTTTGCCTGTAATTATGTGACTATTTGTAAATTTAATTCGCAATGACGTAAGTTCTTTATTTATTTTTACATTGTATTCTAGAGAAATAAATTGTTTGCTAAATTTTACAAATCTTGTAGCTTATCACTCTTTTCTGTTTCTTATTTCAAGAGCAGAGACTCATAACAATCAGTATAGTTCGATATGAAGGTAAAGTTAGGCCCCAAGAAAAAACATCGCCTGAGATCTAGATATTCATCAAGGAGATATTTATGTGATTGCATGACAGTCATGTCAATACAAACGGGCTCCTGATTAGAAGTGAATTAGCGTTTGTCTGTGTGGTGGAGTCTGAACCACAGCGACTATCGTAGCAACACTAAAATACGTATTGTTGACGGAGCTTAATCAATAACAACTGGTGGCGAATGCAGTGCTGGAAAAATAATTTCGATACGATTTCATTCAGGAATATTTGTATAGAACTAAGAAATTTCAGTGCAATTAATAAAGGTGACGCTCTACTGTCTCGTAATTTGCACAGGGTTTGAATTTTAAAGAAAACAAAAAATTACCTGGGTTTCTTCGCTGGTTTTACTGCCTTTTTAAACAGTATCTTACACATCTTAGGCAGTGTTAAAAAAAACTTTATTTTCCCTTATTTTGGTGTATGATTGATGGGTGTAATATGGGTTACAGAGTATACAGCTTGACCTTACTCCAGATGTGCATCTTTAAAAAAAGTGCTAGCTCCACTTGGTCATTTTCACTTCCTGAACTTCAGAGGTAAATTGAAAAAAGAGCCGATAACTTTTTTTAATTGCTTTTTATATATGTGGTAACTCATTCATTACGCTTTCAGAAACTGGTAGTATCTAATCTGGCAAAATGTATTTCCCTATTTCAATAGCTGCCAATGATAACGTACTTTAGACAAATTCAGACTGAATTTTGGAGCACAACGGAGCAGTCATTTTAGTTAACAGTGAGTCAAGATCATTTACAATTTTCAAAAGTACAATAACCAAAGATATGTCAGCCACATTCCATCAAAGAAGCATGGAGGTATGCGAACATTCTCTCCACTATGCGTGCTTTTATTGCAACAACTTCACCTTACATACGTCACTCTCTCAAATGTACATAATAGCTAGCGAGCGCCCTCCCCTCCCCAATTCTACTCTTCTGCTATCAAAATAAAATAATTAGCAGAGCTCAAACACAAGCTAGAAAAAAAGGAAAACCTCCTACGACTCCACGCACACATACGCAACCAGGGAGGTTGAGACCAAAACCAGGTTTTTTTTACAGGCAGAAAATATTTTCCAGTATATATTAATCTTCCGTATAGAGTATTAGCAACATTTTTATATTTAGTATAGTAACTTCTTTTGTGGATGGAATTCACCATATACTTGTGTGCACGCATAAATCATGCACTAGCGTGTGATTTCAGCTCAATGCCTTGGTTCATAGAATGTTTTGACCAAAATCAATTACTAAACTCTAAAATCCCTTTAATGGCACAACCAAATCATTGGTAATTTGCGCGTGTGTGCGAGTGTCTGTGCGTGCATGTGTAATGAGAGAGAGAGAGAGAGAGAGAGATAGAGGGAGGAAGCCGGGGGTATAAAACAAAAAAAAACATTTAAAAGAGAAATAAAGGGAGAATTTTAGCGTAGCTTTAACAATTTTAGTTACATTGCTACGATGTTTGCAGTGTGACAGTTTATAGAGGTGTCTAGCACTGGGGCATTATGCCGCAGACATGTAACAGGATGTCCCACCCAGTCACATTATCCTGACACCAGGCCGACCAGTCCTAACACTAACCTCTTAATGCTGAGTGCCAAGAGTGGCAGCGGCAAGTACCATTGTTATTAGTCTTTGATATAACTCGACCGGGATTCGAACCAGCAACCACTCGCATATGAGGCGAACGCTCTAATCACTTTTGCCACTAGAGCAATTATTATTGATTTGCAAGTTTTTAAATAATTGACACAAAAATATTTATCGTTTACAACCGCGGTTATTAAATTTCATTGCAATCCAACAATATCTGAAAAATGTTATAATACCTAGAACTCTTTCAAAAATTTCCATATTGTCGACGAATTTTAGGACCGTGGAAGTCAGATATTATTCCCAGTCCTACACATTAAAAAAAAAAAAACATCTCTTGATATTTTAAAATCTGAGTTATAACTTTACTTGATTTGTTTTGGTCCAGAATAATGACATTTAATATTAGATCCTTTCTTTCATGATTTAGCTATGTTTGGTTATGTATACTTAATTTGTGTTGTTTGCTGTCTTCATGCCATGGTAATATGTTATATGCATGTATATTGTGTTGCTGACCTTACTCACTAATGAAGTTGAATGTATGCCTGTCTAGCGACATTTAGTTTGTAAACACCAAAAATATGTACCTAATATTTCTCTATGATTATAGATTTAATATCCAGATCATTCTTACTTTTTATTTGCATGTGGGCTTATGACACGAGTTTTTCAGTCGGAAATTCCTAATTATGTTGATACAAGAATGTTCTTGTAAGGAAGTCGACCAACAGTTTGATTCTGTTATTTTGTCATAAGTTTTATATTAATACCTTTTATTCCAAAATTACTTATTCCTATTTTAAGACGGGTCTATTGAGGAGTCAATTTTTGTTGCGTTTCAGTTAATATTTTGGATTATAAGGACATTTTGGATTAAAATATTGCTGGCACATTGCTACATTTCAAGCTATTTGCAGATTTATACGTTCAGCACTGGACTTTTTCGGATCACCACTGGAATTCATTGGGAACTGTACATTTAGACTTGTGAAAGAACGATAATTATTATTTGGGATAATTCACAATACTGTAAGCTGGTATTAGACCTTTAATTTTAATTGAACGGAAACATATCATTTGTAGAATTTTAAAAACATCTTGGTACTTGTTCTTTTTGATACTTAGTTTAACATCAGTGAGTCGTAACAGTTTCATGATTTATCTAAAATCTACTAGTAAATTTTGCGTTTGAAAAAGTTTAAAAAATGCGCAGTTTAAGGAGAATTTACTGCATTCCGACTTTGCAATTTTTGCAATAATATAAATAGTCAAAACTTTCTTCGCTAGGTAAAACATTTCCGAGTCATAATCGACTGGTAAGATATTCTTTCTGACGTTCGTTTGAGAAAGAGAAAGAGACATAGACAAAGACACAAAGAAAAATTTACAGATACCGATAGAGCGATCAATTGTGTGTGCTACTGGAAGTCTTTCATTGCACAAAACTAATAAAATAGACGTCAAAATAGTATTCCTTTCATACAAAATTATTGAACAAAACCGTTAGGGTCCGTAGCATGTACCGTAACTATAAAGAGGTAAAAAAAGATGAAAGAAAACAAAATATTTTTTAAAAAAATCACATAAGATGATCAATTGAAAAAATATACGCTGTACAGCAAAAACGGTGAGTTCATGAAGCATGGATCACATAATAAATTTTTCCTCTGAATAGTTTGAATATCTGGATATTATATATTCAATTGTCAGAATGATATGCTAATTTTCTCTGTTTACAGCAGCAATCGTGTGTTCGTCCAAGAATAACACTTTTCAAAAAATCTTCAGTTGTTGGATTTATTATAACAGCTCGTCTTGGATCGATATTATTCATGATACTGTTAGCCCGCGAAAGCGATGCTGATAATCCGGCATTATTGTAGAGTGTGATATATCTATGCAGCCGAATTATCACTTTCACCACGTGACTTTCCTCCATATTGTATTGTTGGAGTATTCTGACAGTTAAAAACGCCATACTCTTCATTGTTTTCAACTTGTATACGAAGGATGTCAGCAGCAACTTCATTCGCTTTATTTCTCGATTTATCTGTCTTATTTACCACAGCGTACACGGTCTCAGCCTTTATGTAATCAGCATATTTGGTATCAAAATGGAACGGTTGGCCATACTCTGGGTTTTCCATCATGATGTCATCAGATTTGTCCGGTTCATTCATGCAGATTACCTTTTGTGTGTTCTTCCTTGTTCTCCTAAAATGAAATATGCATAATACCTGTTATAAATTAACAGTTTAATGCAAAATATGTATTTTTAGAAACAATACATTTCCTTATGACGTATGTTTTGAAAATTTGTTTGTCTGTGAGGTCTATTCTTTTACTTCATAAGTGATATTAATTAATAACATTGTAAATCTGCTTGGCAATATTTATTTCAAAAACTTGAAGACATGAAAATTGGAATTAGAGACAATTGTATTAGTATAAGTCCATATCTTAAGTAAATAAAATAGGTTTTTTAAAACTTTAGCATGATCCAGTCTTTATAAGTCAAATGGACAATGGACATATTTAGCAAGTTTTTCTTATAAAGAACGCACGCATACATTATAGTCTGAAATAGCTTTCTTATATATTTGTACAGCTGTATATACATATTAACAAGTTAACAAATGATTTTAAGGACATAAGTAAAAATAGAACATGCTCCAGTAAACTGATATTGAAGATGAATGTTTACAAGTGTATGGTTTGTTTACATGTTTATCAAATATGTAGTAAGAAATAGATTGATATTCTAATAAAATCAAATAATAAATCAGAAGACGATAATGGAGTGGAAAACCAATTGTCTGTTATGTAAAGTGTTGCCTCTTGTCATAATAATAAATGAACATTAAATCTCGTCATTCTGTTCATTATGATAAAATATAAAGTCTATAGTTACAAACCAAATAATAAACACATAAAGTCTCACTGCTATAGAAATCTCACTGTCACAGCAATTTGGAAGATCATTCTTATTTAATGTTTAATCTCTTGATTTGAATAAGAAATTTTATACGAGATGAACAAAATATAGCCATTTTCTTTCTACGATATGAACAATGTCCTCATTGTCTTTTTACGAGATGAACAATGTCCTCATTTTCTATATACGAGATGAACAATGCCCTCGTTTACTTTGTACGAGATAAATAATGTTCTCATTTTCTTTGTACGAGAACAAGAACGTACTGCAGTCAACTATATTTCTATTTTAAAAGATGTTTTTACTTTCTACTCTAACAGCTGATTCGTATGCGCTGAATGTGCCTTCATTTACTTTCATATTGTCTATATTAAATTATTTTGAAGCTAGTGCCATATTAATATTTAAAAAGCTGCTAAAGTTGGTAACAAATAGATTATGTCTGACATCAACAGCCATTGAACTCTTATCCTTAATAAATGCTTTGTTCTCCAGACTTAGATCACCTTCATTTCCTCCTTGACGAGGTAAATTATTTTATAGAAACTGAGAACATATATTTACAATATATGTAAGACTGTTTATTCCGTTTGCTTATTCTGTGTATCGCATCCTAGTTTTAAAATAGTATTTCATAAGAATTTATCACAACCTAGTTCACATCATATATGATAATATCTTATTACGCCCTGGTTCATATTGTATGTAAATATTATTCGCAAATGTCGTTGTTCTCAATACAATTATTTGTTGCCTAAATATTTATTTTATCAAGTTACTCAGATTTGCATCGTGTACAATTATCCGATGTTATGTCTCTGTACTTGAATAAGTTTGTATTCATATAAGACTGTCAGCTACTACAGGGAGAAAAGGCGAGACTTGAGTGGCAATGAAAATCTACATCCTTTATTGAATTATAATTAACGAATAATGCGCCATGAAATGGTTTATTTTGATTCCTAGAGATGTATATCCATTCTGTCGATTTAATCTTGTAAGGATTTAACTTGACTAGTCTTTTTATAGATAATACATGCATTTTACAGCCATCATATGATTTTCTATTATTCACAAAGCAGTTTTATATGAAAATAATTGCACATTAGATCGGTATTTGTCAGTAATGTCATTAATGAAAATATTTCTTTTTTAAAAGTCATAGAATTGACACATGTGTTTCTCCTTCTTTAATGCTTTTCTAATCAGATTGTCCATTAGGACTAATTACTATTTTCTCCCAGTAGAAGAGAGTTCATAAAATGAGTCAGAAAGTTTTTATGAAATCCTACCAAAACAGCCATGACCTCTTATTGCTCATCTGCAGCTTTAAAAATATATTAGTGGGTAGAGCTGCGTAATAATACTGTTTTTGCCCCTATCAACTAAGTCAAGTAAAATCAAGGCTGAAAGGTGGATATGATGTGACAAGGCAATTAATATTCTAAAACCTAATTGTGTACAATCCTCTCAAATGTAGCATAAAGACAAATTGTGGGTAATTGCTGATGCCGCTTTTATCATTTCTCTTACGCACTGTTATCACGTTGTCAAATTTGCCATAAGGAGTAAATCGAAAACAACGTATAAAATACTTAAAGAAATGTGTGAAAGTTTCACAAAGGTTATGCACTGATTGTTTTAACACTATTAGATAATCGATTTTGAAATATCAACTTCTGAAACTTCAAAATTATAACAATCACGTCCAGTTACAGCATTGTCCATTGGAACTATTCAACCTATACAATAAAATATTGTTCCATTAGATACATTAACGTGATTTGTACCGTGGTCATCAGCAAATATTTTAACTCTGTAACTTCTTGTATCCAAGACCTATGTTGCATGAAAACCGATAATTTAGATAATTTAAAAGCAATGTCAGTAAATAGACGAAATTGTGTCAGTAATCTCACCTTTTACCTTTAAAGAATACCTACCAGACGTCAAGATCTGCAGGTTGCAAATTAGAATAAAGCGTACTGGTTATATAGCAAAAACACAAACACATCTGCAGAATACATTTATCTAAGGGTGCATTAAGTTACTTACCCTACATACCATATTAAAACTATAATTAGGACACACATCAAGATGGCACCCACAGTTCCTCCAACCACAGCAACAATTACTAATGATGGAAAGAAAGAAAATATGGAGAGAAGATCGAAATATTTAGCT